CAATTCATCACAGAACAGGCACAGAACAGACAAAAGGAAGGAAACGAACGAGGACAGATGCCAGCACATGTCGGACTCAACCCCACCGCCGCCCCCACCCCCACCCATCCTAAATTACAGGCATCCCCACTTGTAACTTGTTGAGATGTCTTTTAACTCCCTCATCAGACAGGTTTCAAGTCACGATATTCTCATATTGATGTTTCGAGCTCCCAACCCAGAGCATTCCCGTCCAACCAGATGTGTGACATTACGAGCAGGGCACACGTAAGCTGGGACATCAGTGTGACATAATGTTTTCACAGACTCATTTAGCAAGTCTTAACCTGCATGGTTTTCCAGAAAATCCCACACCTAAACAGACATAAGTGTGAAGTAAATAGGAAATCGACCAGGTGAAGCATTTCTTAGGGTTCCAGCATTGTTCGGAAAAGCATGTAAAAGGTATGAAGTTTGTTTTTTTTCATTTTTTTTTTCAGGTCTGGACAGCTGGAGAAAAAGGAAAATTGAGGAAAAAAAATGTTTGATTTAAGTGCTTTACCTTTTTTTTGTCACATCAGCCTGATTTTAACATTTTACTTATCATTCATTTGATTGTAGACTTCCTAACTGAATACACAACTATTCAAACAATCAAAGAGGAGAAATCGAACTACTTGATTGGTGGCTTGACAACGTTTAGTCCATGCTTAACTGGAAATGTGGGTCTCAGACTGGATCTGCAGTTTCACACTAACTGCCTAAACTGTTATTTCTAAGAATCCTACTAAAATATAAAAACTTTAAAGCAATCTGTGCAATTTGGAAAAATCTATACACTTGTTCATTTCCTTATAGTGTTATAGACATTATAATACAGCAGATAGGCTAGATTGCACAATAGTGGTCAAATCGCTCTATACCACATACAAAATAATTTTGGGGGGAGATAACTAACAAGGCACATATTCAGAAAGTTTTACTGTTAATGTTTGTACACAAAAGCCCAACAAAGGAAGAGTGCGTAAAAAGAATTTAGAAAGTGAAATTTGGAAAAGTAAAGAATTTCTTTATCATTGGCCATATATAGATAGCCCTGCTTACAGTATGGTTGATTTAAATGAACACTGCAGAGGGATTCCCTCAGTTTTTGCAAACTGCCAACAGAAGCAGCACCACATGAAGCCCAGAATAAGAAAGAAAGATATTTTCTGTTTCCCGCTACCCTCAGCTGTCATTTCTGTCATGGTTTTCCCAAAACAGACTTCACCAATATTTGTTTAGTGGACTGCTAGTGACAATAGCAGAGAACTGGGGGAGGGAAAAAAAGGAACACACACAGAGACACACATCAGACAGGCACACTGCCAAACAAACATTTAAAGTGCCCATTCGCACTGGGGACTCCTTAAGCCTCATATTTGCTCAACAGCAGAAATTAGTGCAGCGCTGAGGAAGAGGGATGAGGCATTAGTGAAGCAACTTTTAGAAAATGAAAAAGGGGCAGTGGAAGAGCAAAGAGAGTGAGGAAGAAAGAGATCATCTCTTTCATGATAATTGCATCAACTTTTTTTTTTACAATGCTTAAGACATCTGCATAAAAATGTGTCTAATGACTGTAGTAATATTTGCTTTGCCACAAGGTGAGAGGAGTAACTTATGTATTAAAGTGGATAACAAGGGGAAAGCATCAGGTTATGTTCAGCTTTGAAAAACATATTTATATTTCTTTTGTACTGCTTTGTTTAATCCATGCTGGGGATCATAGCATAAACAATACTAAACTTAGAGCTCTCCATTTCTTTATATATCTGAAGAGCAAACAACAAAGGACAAAGAAGTAAACTGCACTCATATTGTGGTTGTGTGCATCTGTTTACTTCTGTTGCATAATGATAATGTGAGGGAGGACACCTGCTATTTAAGAACAAAAATATATAAGCTTGAACTCCTTCCAACTCTGTTGGGTTTCGGTTATGGCTCAGAGGAGTGCTCGATTTGAAGAGCAAAGTAATTAAACAATTCATCTTCCTTCCAAAACACAAAAATGTAAAATATACACATTTAGAATTAAATATATTTATATAAATATTTTAAATTAAACACTCTTTGTTTTTTTTGATCCGGTGTGAACCCAGATTAGTTGGACATTAAGGCAGAGGTTGAAGGCTAATATAAGTGAGAAATGCAGATAGGAGATGGCACGCCATCACTGTTCTGAACACTTTACTTCTCAGAAAACTTTTTTGCTTGAGAAACAAGTTAAAACAAGAAACGTTCTTGAAAGAAAATTAAAACCCTAAGATCCACAGAGAAATCAGCTGGTAAACAAAATGCATTAGCTCAGTGTTTAATGGAGAGGTATCATTGGCACTATTAGTCCCAGTGACTTTCTGAAAAAAAAAAAACAGTTTGAAATACAGTGACAAAGAGCTCACTTCAACCACTGGGATATTTTTGATTTTTAAATCAAATAGGGTCTCTTCATGCCTTAAAATAAAAAATAATCCTGTGTTAAGGTGTAATTGTAGGATTCTCTTTTAATTCTGAATTATCTTCAACAGTGCTGATCAAAAATAAAGAAGCAGGTCATACACCTCAAAGGTCCGTGTCAACAACAATCTGTACCCCTGTTTTCACTTTCTGCTTATTTCAGTTTTGTTCCTCTTAAAAAAAAAACACTTAGTGTCCATATTTATTAATCATAGATTTCAATTCATTTGTCCCTAGGTTTAATATTTTGATTTGAAAAAATCACTTTACACAGTCATATTAATCAGGGGAACAAAAGAAAAGCATAAGAGACCCCCTGTATGTGAACCTTTGTTTTAGTTTTGATTAGTTGGTTGTATAAGCTGGTTAAAATAACACACCCCTGCTGGGTACCATGTGTCACATAAGCAACATCTGATGTGATGGCTCTGGAAGGGTTTTTTTTTTTTCTCAGTTTGGATGTGGGAACCATAAATGTAGATACAGCGGAGGATATACCACCAGCGAACTTCCTGTGTGAAATAACAGAAAAGGAACATGTGGCGCTTTTCCCTGATTGGGATTCTTCAAGACAAAAAGGTCAGTTTGGTCCCATCTATATTGGATCAACTGCTTAAACCGTTGGTTTTAACTACGTCTAGATTTATGCTATGTATAAACACCCAGTAAAATATATATCATTGCCAAGAAACTTTAAGGGGGCCTAATTAAAAATAAATAAATCTAAAGTTGCCCTTCTAAATATCTTTAGCTGGGTAACTATATATCTACTTCTCCATAGGAGAGGTGATAGAAAAGAGGATCACCACACAAAGCAGCAGCACAAAAACACCCGTAAGGCTGACTTGACAAAGTCCTATTCACACTGACACACACACACCTTACTGTAAACACAGCACATGGAGCCATTGATTCTCATACACGCCCACACACACACATATTTGCCCTCAACAGACAACAAGTAAACGGACGCTCACACACAGACACAAATAAAAACCTGGATGCGTGTCGGTTGGAGATAAGACAGGCTTTCCCCTCTTTTGCTGCCTCTGGCTTTCGCAGAGTCTTTGTCAGCAATGTAAAAATATCCTCAGACATAAACACACACATGCACACACCGGCTAGTTTTTATCTGCCACTATAAATCCTTTCATGGCTGGCTTGCTCAAAACACCCTGCCAATATTCAAGTTCCTTGTGGCAGCAACTGAAGCGGTAAGTTACAGAGTGGAAAGATAATACAGATGAAAGAAAACATCTGGGACCATTGATTCCAATTCATCTTAAATTACACTTTTTTTTTATCTAGATTAGAGGTAAGCAGCTTGGTTTCAGAGGATTAAATGTAGATATGTGCCAAGGAATAACATTAAGGTGTGCCTGAATCCTAAATATTTGCTGGATAAGCATGCCACGGCTATTCTAAACCAGGCACCACAAAAATACGAGGGGGAATAAATACTTTAGATTCCAGCTCCAATCACAAGGTCTCTAAATGAATGGAAAGCTCAAACCTTCTTCTTTTAAGCTCAGTCGTATTCTTCAAAAAGTGTTTAAGTTCAGCCATATTTTTCTCAAAAGGCCATAGGAAAAAGAACGACAAACACGTTTTGTTGCAAAGGAATAAATTCTGCGAAACTAACCCAGAATGTCTAATGCTAAAAAAATATGTTTTAATAATAATAATTTAGCTTTATGTTCTGTTTTGTTCGCTGCTGCAGACTAAAGTTTTCAGGAGTTCACCAACTTCCTATCAGCGTACCCATCAGTCCATGAGTCTCATCTGGAGCAGCACCTTCTCTACATTGTCATTGTTTTATAACTATACACACAAAGCAGGCTCCTAATTATTACATCTAAATCCAACATCAAATTATCATTTTGAAATCTGAACCCACGATTGCATGAATTGAAGTTCTGAAAATGTGCTTTTAAAGACCATATAAAAAGCAGACTCATTAACAACGATTTAACAGACCATAATTGCTTTAAGCACCAAATAGTTCTTTCTAATCTGGGATTGGGTGTAATTGTTTTTTATCAGATGTAATTCCACATCTGCAGTTCTTATGAAAGGAAATAAACAGTCAGTCATAGAAACCTTTAAGTAGTTCAGCACTGTGTTTGCCCTTTGAGCTCTACCTGGACTGCCAGGTTGGGATTGCCAAGCTGTTAAGGTATTTTGTTATCACTGACTTAGCTCCTATAAGAAACTAGGCAAGGTCTCGGGTGAAAGCATTAATGATTGATAAAGTCCTTTCACCAACACAGAAAGACACAGTGGCTCATGCAATATTTCAAGCTGAACACCTATGTGAGTTAAAGTAAGAAGACAGCTGAAATGAACATATTCTCATATGCATATGATGGTTTATTGGATGAGAAGTCTCCTGTACACTTCAAATATCATCTTATCCTTTTTTAAACATAAGCAACCTGAGGCAAGTTACCTTAATTTCCATCACAACTCTGTCTCTTTTATTCTTCTTAAAGCTCCCTACACAACCTCTATACAAGAAATCACCTTACCTTCACTTAAGGAGTATGGTATTCCTGTGAGTGTCCCATTTAATTCCCTGTGGTTACTAAAGCACAGCCAGAAGAACCCAGATAGAAGGAAATCCCTGCATCAGAGAGACATCTCCCAGGCTCCGGAGTACTGTTTCACTCTTCACACACTGGAGTGCATTCTCCCACATGCTGCCACTTGCATGCCTAGATCAGACTGTAGGCTGAGCAGGAGGGTGTGTGTGTTCTGTTTTAGTCTAGGCCCGCCCTCTTTTCTTCCTGGCTTCCCCTCTTCTCTCACTCATGCTTTCACACAGCCCTCCTCTTCCTCTTTTTCTCCCTTTTCTTGCTTCCTCTCTTACTCACCTCCCCTGGCTTGGCATTTGACTGTCAGCATGTGTGCTGGGTTTGTGCCTTTAAGCTTTTAGATGTCCCAGTCCTCTGTTTAATTACTGCCTCCCTGGCCTCAAGCTAAACAACACAAACAAAGAGAAAAAAGATACAGTGAACAAGCACTGGCGTGCAAAAAATCCCCATTTGCTGGTAGGCAACACTGCCGAATATAGCAAGTGTGAGTTCTTCTCTTTTTAGGAGATAGATGATCTAACCAGAACAGTGTGAAAAGAAGTGGGTGGAAACTGATTTCTTTTATGTAACTTGGAAACATAATTTGAAAGAGAGAAGGGTTTGAGTTTAGAGACAATAAATTATTATTCGACTAATATCGAATAATATTTACTGTTGCTTATATCATCCTGCAGTTTTTACTCATCTTTTCTGTTCATCCCTTTATGTATACATCTAGTAGTTACTTTTTTGGGAGACTTACATTGAGAGAATTAAATGTGAGCTTTTCACTGGCAATTCAGCTCTTTTTTATCCTTATTTGATTCTAACCTGCTTGCATTTCATGCACATGAGCAATTATTTTTGTCCACTTGCACGAAACCATGTCTTATCTATTTCCTTCTTATCAAGGTTAAAGAGGCAGTTTTCTAATTATACTGCCACCTGTGGCCAAAATACAGAACTGCACCGCCCTTCTTCTCTTTTCTAAGTCGCACTCATACTGTACTTGACAAAGTCACTGAACATCACTGTGCCTCTTTAGCTCAAAAAACACAACCTTCCACATGACCTACTGGTCTTCTTATGCTCTGCTTGTATTCAACCTGTTATACAGTATATATATGTTTTATATGTGTACATATTGCTGGTTAGAGACTTTTTAGACTTTTTACCCTCAGGTCGATTCTACAGATCCCTAAAAAAAATAATAAACTGAAACACAACCTGTTTCGTACCCTAGAGTGTTTCTCGGATGAATGCAATTGAATACTTCAAAGTCAGGCTACTTTGCTGAGGGGGGATAAGCTTTTAACACTTTTACAAGCTTTCTTTCCTTCTTCTTACAGAAAAGAAAAGATAGTTTGTACATATTGCGTCTTCTCCTTTTTTTATCCCTACATAGTTGTTTTTACATTCTATGGTTACGCAGTTCAACTCAACTGATTTTGGAGGCAAAGCTTGATATAGAAAGACAAATGAGAGGACAATGGGTTTGTTTATTAAATCCAGATTTTTGATGGTATTTTATCATTTTAGGTTACAAAACATTTAAAGTGCGGTTTGCACTGAAGCATATAGGTACGAGAAGCAGCTTACATTGGGAAGAAATTGAGACCATAATCTACCTTTTTTATAAAAAAAAAAAAAATAGTAAAGAGTACTGAGAAACTAAAAAAAGTCCTACAATCAAAAACATAATTGAAACTTCTCTACATCATAGTGTAGTGATGCTTTTATTGAAGTGGTACAGAGTACTGCCTACATTCGGGGGAAATATGGAGGGAGCAAAATACAGGAAAATCCTGGAAGAAAATCTTGGATGCTCTAAAAAGTTCGGGTACTGCTTGATCTTTCTGCAGGACAGTGACCCTACACATATAGTCACAGCTACAACTAAGAGCTATTGATCAAAACCTATTTAACTGTTGTAGTGGGCCAGTTAAAGTTCAGACCTAAATATTAGCTGGAATCTTTAACAAGACCTAAAGGGCGCTGTTGATCCAATTTTAATGAGCTTAAACTGTTATATATGGACTTATATATGGAAAAATATTTAGTCAAAAGCAGGTGGAGACATTCCTTAAAAGGAAAAACAGTAGTTCTACCAAGTCAAGGTGGGAAACCCCTTAAAAAGCATATACAGGGACTCACAGCACTGTGGAGCACTAATATGATTTGAATAACAAAAAAATTCAATTGATTAATAATTTGGGAGACTTTTTCGTTATATAATATGATGCTTATTCAGGATGTGCATACATTTGTAGGAAGAAAAAAAAAGAATTGGTTACACACATTGATTTATATGTTTTTCAAGAACCTGTTGATTCAGTTTAGCATCTGGTGTTCTTGGTTTCCCACCCGCCATCAATTGCAGTGAACCAGAAAAACCCGAAATGAAGTTCCACTAATATCCTTGGAGGGTTTTTTTTGACATTTTGTTTATTCACTTCCGTCATCTAAAGCTACTTTCTGAAGAGGATACAAAGAAGTCAAAGCATCTCATTGCAAAAATTAAAAGGGGTAGATAAATAATCTACAGCAGTACATATAAACCATGGCAGTAATTAGAAGAATCACAGAATAACAGTGACAATAGCAAAAAAAAAAAGAACTGCTTCACTGAATGATGAAACCAAAATCAAAGCAAAATAATTAAAATTAAAGAAGTTATTACAAAAACAAAATAAAATCTGTTAATAGTTTAATGATGCTCTCTTTTGGTTACTATTTCATCATTTAACAAAAGAATTTCTTTCCTTTACTGCAATGTTTGGCTTTTAGAAATGTCATCTTACGTAAGAGGCTGATGATCTTTGATGTAAATGTCTGCTACACTCTACTGTAGCTGAAAAATATTTTGGTGTTCAACATTTATGGAGGCAAACATGTCAAGAAAAAGGGCAGAGAGTATAACAGATCCATCCAACAAAAGCAACCCGACACAGCCTCCACAGGGGAGAGAGGGGGAGACAGTCATGAACACAAAGTTGCTATTATACAGCACATGTACTCTGTTGCACAGACACAAATGCATTTGAAGTCTTTCACCTCTGGCACATAATGACATTTCAGCACACCACTCAGACAAAAAAAAAAAAAAACGGCAGCAGGTAACCCTTTTCTATTTCAGTTCTTTTGTGCAAAAATTGTGTGAACTGTATATCTGCTTGCACACATGCTCTCTGTCTGCCTGTCGTCTTGTACCTGTCAGCTCATCAGATCTCAATCCCTGCAGTCAGTTTCCTCCATTCTTCATCCTCTATATTGTTTTGTTATCAGACACAGTTGGTTTTCAAAAGGTTTTATAAGAAGTAGCAACCCACTAAATGTCCCAGTTATTCTGCAAAAACAGTGCAACAGGACCTTTTCCATCATGACATAAAATCGAAATATCTTTTATAACTGGATATTTTGATGGATGTTGCATAATTGTGCAAATGCATTTTTACAGGGATGTTGAAATTTACCAAATTCAAAGCTGACAGAGATTAATGTAAAGCCGTTCAAAGATGGCTGGAGGGTAGTGTGAGGCTGTAGGGTTGTGTCCTTCATGAGTTATTTAGGGGAGTGTTGGCCTAGTGACCTAATGGTTGCAAGTGAGAAGGTTGCAAGTACCCAGTTTGATCCCCACAACCTGGACTCTGGGTCCCTCAACAAGACCCGACACTGCTCCCCGGGCGCCACACAATGGCAGCCCACTACTCCCCAAGGGGATGCATTAAATGCAGAGGTAAATTTGTCTATTGTGAGTGCAATAAAGTTCAATTATTATTATTCAAATGAACAAATCATTTCTTTTTTATTTTACTTTTTCAGATCATTCTAGTCGTCAAGATGGAATCTTCTGTGTTTTGTGACTCAAACAGGGGCATCTGTTGCTCCAAGATAATGGCTAAATCTAGCTTGAAGTTACTTAAAGATTCGCCAAGCCCACCTACTAGGCACAGAGTAAGGCTGCAGGAATTATTTGCCAATGTTCTGTACTGGACATGGTGCTGATTTATTCCCCCTTGTTCTGCACAAATTAGTACAGGATTCCTGCGTCTGCACTGATTCACAGTGATTCGACCTACTGAATCCACAGTGTACCGCCATTGAGGTGTGCTTCACCAACTAGCACTGCTCTGTAGGAGCTGAATCACTCAGTGGCTCACTGCATGAATCTGGATGGGATTTGTTGGCTTTGTGTGACAAAGATATATGTTAGTGTTATTAAAAGAAAGGCATGCAAAAAATTTTCAAGAATGTTTTCTAATGTCTTGGTCTACTTTTTTTTTCTTTTGTCTATCACCAACATAAGTTAGGTCTGTGTGATGTCTTGAATTTTGATCAATGTTAACATTGGTAAATATATAGAATCTCCTTACTTTATTAAATTTGTGAGGAAATCATTACCTTGGGGTAGTTATATAAAATGACAAATGGCCCGTTGTTTAGCACTAACTTGTTTACGACTGAACCTGTTCAGCTGAAATAGACTGACAGATGATAAATTAGTGTCATGATTATATGCAACAGTCAAGTCTGATATTTACAGGGACTGTAAACACATTTGGCATTTTCCCCATCTGTCTTTATAATACAATCAAAATAATAATAAATAAATGCAATAGACGTTATGACATAAAAATCTGTTTAGTAACAGGAGCAATTGTTCTCCCCACCTGGGGCAGCCTAGTGGTTAGGGCATTGCACTTGGAATCTAAAGGTTCTGAGTTCAAACCCAATCCCACAGACTGCCACTCTGGGTCCCTGAGCAAAGAACAAAAACCCCACACTGCTCCCGGGGCGCCGCATAATGGCAGGCCACTTCTCCCCAAGGGGATGGGTTAAATGCATTAATTTAGTTACTTTGTACTTGTGACAATAAAAAGCTGTGGGAAAAATAGTCTATACATTTCAGCTATATATTTTTATGTTTTAGAGCATTTTTAGCTCAGACACCAGAACTTTTTAAGCTTGTTTCAGCACATTTAGCACTGCACCTCTTAAGCTGAGGACTCCTCAAGTAAATACTAAACTACAGTTTGAGGAGTCTGAATCTAGGGAAGCCTGTGTTCTAGTGTGAGCTGACTACAACATGACACATAGTCAGTCGGGATGAGGAACATCAGCTTGCATCCTCTGCTCTAACAAAAAAAATGCAAAGTTGGTCTATATTAAACAA